ATCCTAACAAACATGGCTGGCGATGGCACCACTTGGGAGACCCAGTCTCCCAGGTGGTCGGGCGATGGTACCGCCTAGATTGAGTGGTGGTTCTGTTGGCAATCAATGCTGCCAACGATGGTACCGCCCTTGTCAAGCGGTGGTACCGCCAGAGCTCGGTCTTCGAGCTCTGTTAGGCGGTGGTACTACCCATTAATGGCGGTGGTACCCCCAGCATCCCGAAATCCAAGGATTTGAATTTTTTGGCTCTAACTTTTGAAGCCATTGGGGCCTATAAATACCCCACCCTTTTCTACATAAAAGGGTAACAAAGTGCTATTATATGTGTGAAAAATTCTAAGTGTTTGGGGTGTGAAAAGCATTGTAAAAGTGAGAAGAGTTCTCCTCCTTCCTCTCTTAGCCTTGTAATCATCCAAGAAAGCGGAGTGAGACTTGTAAGGGTTGTCTCATAAACCCGGCAAATGGAGAAAGAGCTGTAAAAGATAGTTGGTCTTCGTCTATTGAAGAAAGGCCTCCTTTAGTGGACGCCGATGATCTCGACGGAGGAGGAATTCAAAGTGGACATATGTCTCATTGATCAAACCACTCTAAATTCTGGTTTGCTTTTCTTTTTGTGTAATTTACTTTACTGCAAACCTCCTTGAGCTTCTTCCTACGTTCTTACGAAAGTTTAAGTTTAACATCTTTAAGAGACACATTGTAGCTAAAACATGACTATGGATACATTAAGACGAAGAGATGCAATATCTACAAAGCCTTCGAGGAGAGCATTGAAGAAGGAATAAATAAGTGAGGAGTATATCACAAACTCTAGCAAAGGTGTTCAATGTAATGTTCATGTTTTAAGTTTCATTCATCCCTTAGGCAACATGTAAGAGATTGACAATAAGCTTGGTAAACCTATTTTGATTGAGTTTTCTGATTATTTTTTTCTTCAAAGTACAACTTGTATATGGTCATCATATAGTGACAAAATTATTCAAAACAGTCTTTAGCTCACAAACTTCAAAGCTTTTGTGTAGAAACTTTTGCACTCAATGGACTACCTTGGATCCTTTATCATGTGATCTTTTCAAAGATTATAAAGTTCGTCTGTGCCTATTAATTGTTTGATAAAATATCTTCTTATAAAATTTCGAGTTTACGCTTCAGTAAAGCAACATCAATAGTTTACTTGCACGTGCACATGTTTTCTAATATGTTTTCTCTCAAGGAATGTCATTGGGGACCTTAAGAGTTATAAAGAGACAATACATGGCTTAAATAAAACCAACTAGATATATTACATAAGATCTAATTGCATCCTAACATACTCTCAAGGAATCCAAGTGTTCTTTATTATGCCTAACAACTTTATTAACAATCGGCCATTTGCTTCGACTGATTCATTTTTCTCCTTATAATCATCTAACATGGTGAGATTATAAGTTTTGACTAATCTTTAATAAGCAGGCATTGTTAGGGATGTCACATAGCTCAAACGATTACAACATAATATGCGAAAATACATCGAATGTGAAGCATATGGACAAAAGTTGAGCTTCCCAACTCGAGTAATTGTTCCGTTAAGCCTCTCGTGATCCCCACTCTAAACATCACCATAGTCCATGAGAAGAGGAAACCACCACATGAACTGTTAGATGATGATGATGAACGCATGCTTGCTAGTCCTCGAGCTCAACAAGCTGTGCCGCTCTTCTCTCGGCTGCCTTCTTCCGCACAAATATCCCCCATCGCATGGCCGCCTTGATCTTAAGCCACCCAACCACCGCCCTACCCGATGGACGGCTCCGTTCGTCATCGTCATCGTTGAAGTTGGAGCACAGCAAAGGCACGTACGGTGGGAAGCCATATCCATCCTCATGCAGACTCATGGAAGCTCCAACAACACTTAAGTTGCGGAGTAAGTGCTGCATGTCCTCATTCTCCAGCATCTCGTGGCTTCTCAACCGGATCTCCTCCTCCGAGAGGAAGTCATCCTGTTGGCACGACCAGTCTTCGTATGGTTGGAATTCCATGCTCGGTTGATGTAGTGGTGGAGCGAGTGCAAGACCTGCACGATCGTCTCTTCTGAAATGGGACTGGTGAGAGGAGCTACTTGACTGGTTTTGGAAAGCAAAGGAAGTGCTTTGGATCGGCATTTGAGCATTTAAATCTGCATCTTGTGGAAGGTTAGAGTACCGAGTAGCTCGACTCCCATTATATCCTAAAGAAAAGAAAAAAGCAGTTGAGATACTAACTATTTGGAATCAGCTACATAAATCAGGATATACAAATAAAATGCCTGCTATAATTATATATCCAATCATGTTGAAATTACTTCAAAGTAGTGCTCTTAAGCCAACTCCTAATTAATTATCTAAAACAAATAGTACTTGGAGAAATATAATGATTTCTCACCTTCGGCGGTATCAGCAATTGCTACTGGTTGGTGCTGTAAGGGAACTGAAGACTGAGGGTGAAACTGAGAGATATGCTGGTCATGCAAAGAAGGATGATTCAATGATGAAACCAATGGGGATTCTTGTAGCAAGGAAGCGGTTGCTTTCTTGCTCTTTGTGTTGTCCAAGAGGGTGTGACTGTCATATGCTATGGCATGCATCCAATTGTCGTATGCCTTTTTGACCAATGTATCTGCAAAAACCTGCAATGGATGAAGGGAACACAATCATCTTCTCAACCTATATTGATCATTGAAGTTTCTACTAATGTACTGGGTATCCAGGTGCTGTGCACTTCTAGTAGGATCAAATGGAAGTAGCAGCTCAATTTATAGAATTCACATCCAACAGGTTATAGATCTGAAAATTTTGCTCTCTCTCTCTCTCTCTCTCTCCAGTTTTCACAAATCAAGTTTGTAATTTCCATACCTTAGTTGTAAGTGTAGACATGGATTCATTAGCTTGGAACAATGGAGATTTTAGAAATGCAGCTTTTCCCAACTTTATCTTCACTTGTTAATAACAAAGTTTGCTTTGGAATGGACGGAGGAGAACATGCAACTAATAAGATGTCAAGGCCAATGATGTCAATTCTATTTCAGCCTATCAACTTTTGTAGTTTTAACTCCTTTGTTGTCACAAACAGATTTTGCTTCAGTTTCACAAGAAAATTGTCAGGATTAGTAGCCTAATATCCTCCTTCATGATAATGACTACCAATGAATAACTGGATTACCGCATGCCATGGTACGAAACAGCGAAAAGGAGTATAATAATAGAAATATTACTCACCTTCTGACTGTCATTAAGTCCTCCTGCTGAACAGAACTGCCCTCCAGCGATTAAGCCACAGAACTCAGAGATGTTGTTGAAAATAGCACCAACATCCCTCGTTTCATCTGAGTAGTATACATAGTACTTTCCACTTAAGACACAAGTCTTCGCATGCTCCACAAGGATATCCCACATCTTATTTGACATACCAGTTCCCAGGATCTAGAAGCACGCAACGAATGAATGACACAAAAGAATGAATAAAAAATTCTATCGGAGAACAATACATCAAAACTTACATTACGCAATCTTTGGGGATCTCTGACAACAAGCCTGAGGAAATCTTCGACTGTGTTAATTCCGTTGCTATTCAACCTCTTGTGGAATGACCCATCCTTGCCAATCTTTTCCAATCTCCAAACTTCATCCTTCAAGGCAGGTGGATAATGTTTCTTGTACACTATAAAAAGATTGGAGGAGAAAAAATTATATATGAAATTGCGAGGGGAAAAAGACCAAATAATTAAAAATGTTAAGAAGACCTACATTCTCCTCTATGATCCTTAACCACGAAAGCTTCTGTCTTTGCTTCACGTATACGAATACCCTCACAATAGCCTGAGGCAATCTTCAAACCAAGTCTAAATTTTCTGCTTCGGATCCAACTAGAATTATCAGTAAAATTAAGCTCTCCGAGGCTACCAACACCATCTTTCAAAGAAACCTGTACGTCCCCTGTCAAAAGTGGTCTCTTTCCTTCACGCTCTTTAACTACATGGCTCTCAAAATCTTCTTCCGTCCAATTCTCATCATCTTCATCATTAAAATCACCCTCTAGAACTAAAACATCTAGCTTTGCAGATGCCTCAGGTCCTGAGCTTACCACATGACCAGAATTTGCATCAAGTAATACAACATGAATTGCAGCTCCCTGTTCCCCTTCTACTTTTCCACCTGTAAAAAGAGGAAGCGATAGCCTCGTCCTGAAGTGCAACTGTAGGTTTCTTCCATCAGGTCCTTCTATTTGTTTTGGTGAACACCTGCATGATGTATAACCAGAAATACTTATTTCTAAAATATTAAATATGCTTATTTCAGAAAAAAATTACTGAATATACTGTTAGCTCATGTTATCATCATTTTTCTATCTCCTGTAGTATAAGCTACAACTAAGTAGACTAATTCCCATTGGTTGACAACATTAAACTAAAAGAAGAATGACACAGCTCATAATGGTTCACAAAGAATAGCAAATATAATAAAGAACTTATGGTTCACAAAGAATAGCAAATATAATAAAGAACTTACATAAGCTAGTTGTGTGATCCTGCAACATTTTTTTTTAAAGATGCTGATTCCATACAAATAAAATATGATGCGCACACATAAATGAAAACACAATACATATATCAGTTTTGTATAGATATATACTATCTGTAAATAAGATTCCATGTGCTTGTGTTGCTAAATCACCATGGAACTGGCATAGCAAATCCACCTAGGATTTCATATATTCTGATGAGCATTTCATCCTTTTGGCCTTTGGATCTTCCTCAATAGTAACAAAACAAATGTTATTGGGGCAGTTCCTGACATAATACTCTTACATGACACCCATATAAAACCTTTTTCTCTATGCTTTCCGGAGTCTGGCAGATTCTGGACTAGAAATTGTGGTCAAATTAGAGCTAACAACTCAAGTGGCAATCAATCATATTTTTTATCACAATTAAAAGTTCATAAATACTAATTCTCCAAGAAATAGAAGTTGAAGGCATAAGAGAGTTCTGTAGATAACTTGTACTTGAAATCTTAAAATAGGAAGAGAAAAAGTGAAGAAAATCTAACATTGTATCACAATTGTTGGTTTTTTAGTTCAAAAACAGCAGCAGGATGAAAATTGTTTTCAATTACCAAAGGTTCCATTTTATAGTGTAGAGGATGACACAACAATAGCCAATTCTAGGAGCAAACAGCATTCATGTACATGATGGACAGTCTTCTACTCTCAGAAGCAACAGTGAGATGAGAGAACTAGTTGGAATTTGCAAAGGTTTAATCTGTAGTGTAGTCGATGATTTAACAATTTTATACCTTCCACCAATCCTGGCAGGACCCAACTTTGCTAAGGCTCGTTCCACTTCTTCACTGACCTATGTAAGCACAAAACAGAATAAGATTAGCAGTCAAAAAATGTACCTGTGTAAATGAATAAAACTGCAGAATTTGAGTCCCACAAAGAGAGAAGGTTCAAAAGATTCATGTTCCCTTAAATGCAGTTAATTAGTAATAACTACAAATTTACATTATAAAAGATAAAGCAATGGACAATAGGCAAAAGTAACATGATAAATTTTACATTTTCACAGGACATGTGCAAGCTGGATTCATATCTCGCTCAGAAATTAAATTAATCATTTGGAATGCAAGTGAAAGAATACAAATGAAGAACATGAAGTGTCTACGGTTCATAGATGAAACAAAAGAACCAAACAAGAAAACTAGTGGGCATACAGGAAGGCTGATGCTACAGATATGGTAAGGGCCGATGCTACATGACAATTTCCCAAATCAACCTTCATCCAAAGCAAAATAGCCCAGGACTGAAATTGCATTTCTAATTCATCCAAGAAATATATCAATCGAATGACATGTCATAAAAAGTTAAAAAATAGACAAATGCAGCAAACTAGCATGGCCCACCTCATAGAAGATCATGAACTGAAATACGTATGCCACATTCTTTTCTGAGAAAAAAAAATGAGGACAAGTACTTAACTCCAGAAAGCTTAGCAAGTTTAATATCAACCAGATCCATAATTCCAAACCTCATTTCAGACTTCACATGGGATACTAATATCACCTAATGGTATCATAAACAATGGAAAGAGAAAAGATAATGAAACGTAAGCATCATCGCGCAGAAATCCCAGTAACTACAGCCCAGGAAAAGCTGTTGTGGTAGCTTAATATTTGCAATCATAAAATGCCCCACATATGCATGATTTCAAGAAAATCTGCTATGAAATAAGACATTTGTCTTACAACTCTACGAAGGATGGGCTCCAATGACGAACAGATTTTCTGCAGACTGTCCACTTTCAATGCCTCAACGATCACACTGCAAAGAATATTTACTCTGATTAGATATTTACTCATGCTAATCATAAGTAGGCACACATGCATTTATGAATATCTAATCTTAAGGAACTGGAATAAGTGAAACATAATTATCAAATAGTTGATGCCTCTAACTACTAATGTTTGCATAGGACATGTCTATGCAATGACACATGTCAAAGGGTAAAACCAGGTAAAATAAAAATCAAACGAATCATCTTAAAAGGTCAGTGACAAGATTGAATCTGTTTCTTTTTCTTTCAGTGTTCTTAACCCTCAAGACTTCTCATTTGTCCAGGCATTTGTTTTTCTTATATTGGTTTTACATACGAACAGGCATGCACACGCACGCGCGCACACACAGAGGGAGCAAAGTCATCCTGTCTTGTTTGTTAGAACAGGAATCAGAACATCATCTGTTAACGAGATTTCAAGCTTCAGCCCCTTGCACCTGCTGTCAAGCTCAAGAGTTTTGCCCCTGTACAGAATTGGAGCTATTCGGGCATGACTAGCAGCAAATGATAAATAACTTGAACTTAACACATGAAATTATCTCTGTTCCAACTACAATGAGGAATAACTAAGAAAATACACACAAAACAATAGGGTAGTCTTCGGGAGAAGGGAAGAGCTGTATCAGAAGGCAAGAATCTATAGAATAAAAACCTTTCCACCAAAATGACCCTACAAATATATTCCAATAAGATGGAAAACGAACAGACCAAGCTAAGTCTTGCTTTATTTGTCATACGGCAATACCAGAAATCAGAATAGTTTAAAGAGGTAAGCTTTTCTAAGTTTCTATCTTTTAGTCCAAATTTCTTGGTTGCTTACCTCGCGAGGGCCGGAACCTTAGACCGCTTGGGCTCGGGTTGCAAGCCGTCCCTGTCCCTTGCTTCCAACCCCCGCTTCTCCCTCGGCAGCGTCCCCTGCCGCTCATACCTCCCGGGCCGCTGCATTCCGCGATCCAAATCCCAGATATCTCTATGGGCTGTGCAACAAATCCCAGAACCAAAATCCGATGATTCCTGAACAACATACAAGTCATGAAGAGCTACATGAAGTTACCATCTTCGGCACTGAAAACAAAAGACTGTCTTTCCGGACAAAACCTATCCAAAAATGGCGAAAGAGAACACTCGGTCGAAACCATGAAGAATCTAAAACCGCTGTAATGAGAGCTACAACAAACCTTCTCTCTCTCGTCGAGGTATCGCACGTAGTGGCAGCAGAAAGACAGAGAAAGACACACACACACACAAATTTGTCGAAATGGTGTTATCGCTGAGAGAGAGAGAGAGAGAGAGCGAGAGACACACAAATATGTCGAAATGGTGTTATCGCTCGTGCCTTTTACCTTATCTGTGTGTTCGCCCTTTTTTTATGACGGCTAAATAATAGAGTTCGGTGCCACCATACCAAGCAATATATACAGCAGAGACGTTTCCTTAGGGACGCGTGCAACTACGTCCACTGCGTAGCATTGCTGTTTGCTGTGATAGATGAGGAGGGCCGGCAGCGCACTTAAAAAGATTCGATATAGTGGAACCCTTTCGTTAACATACCTGCCAGAACAATGGGAGCAGAAGTGGCCCCACCATTGCTCCTTCCAATGGTCATCCCGGTAGCAGTTCCGTTCGTATGCACGGCATCTTGCACCGTGCATGACTGTCGGGTCCCGCGCGTGTGGTTTCCGAGCGACTTCCAGGCTTCTTCTCGGAAAGAGGTGAGAGTTCTGTGAGGTAAAGTTACGGTTGGGTCCCACGCGTGGAGTTTCCAGGCGGGTTCCAGGCTTCTTCTAGGAAAGGGTAGAGTTGTGAGCTAAACGGAGCTGGTAAATAGTGGCTCCTCCCCCTCGTCCTTGCGCTCCTGCACTTCGTGTCGGCATGGCCTTTCTTTTCTGGCGACTTATAAAGCTCACCACCAAGTTATGCCTGACGCAAAGCTTAAAGGCTCGGTTCATTTTACGCACAGAAGCAAACAAAGAATCCTGCAAAGTTGACTTTTTGTGTTTGGAATCGCCTACACGTCGTATCTATGTTTTAATCAATGACGAGGGTGGATTGCGTGATGCAGCTGACGCTTCGCTGCTCGAACAGCCTCCACGCCATGTGTTTGCTTAAAAGGACTAATGGATATAGATCAGATAGAAAACTAATTGAACATGGATTGTAAAACAAATTAACTCAAGTTTATATATACTAAACAAAAACAGATGGTAAAACAAACTAAAATTGTAATAGATTATAGGAACAAACTAACGTCGCAAGAAAATATTGAAGCTCGGAGGATTAACAAATCAAACATTGTAATAAACTAAAACAAATTAATATTGCGAGAAACAAAATATTAGGAGGTAAATCAATTGCATATAGATTGTAAAAAATATATATTAACGCATATTTACAAAAAAGAAAATTCTAGAAGAAATCTAACAGATGCACATAATTTATAAAATAAATCAACCCATGCAATTGCATATGGATTACAAAATAAAGTGACACAAGTTTGCACATGGATTAAACAAATCAATATTGTTATGGAACTATATCAAATTAATTGCAAGAAATAAAGATCACTCGGAGGGATAAAGTATGTGGTTTTTTTACATATGCTTTTTATATATCTTAATGATGATAAAAAAAATTCATATCCTAAATAGTTAGGGTTTAGGATTCTGTTATTGTTGTTATTGTAACTGAGAAAAAGCAAAACAAATCTACATATAGATAGTAGAATAACCATTATAAGAAAAAAAAAGTAAAATGATGCTACAAGGAGAACAATTAATTAGACATAGATTATATTAAAAAAATCGTACCAATTGTATATAAATTATAAAATAAATAGTCAAAAGTTTTCATATAGATTATGACACAAGTCAATATTGTAACAAAGTTTAATTCAAACTAATTGCAAGAACAAAGAACACTAGGTTGGATCCAGTAATACAAGTCTTCTATATAGATTGTAGAATAGCCTTTAAGAAAAAATAAAATAAACTAAATCTACAAGGGGAATAACCAATTGGACATGGACTATAAAAATAAATCAATTCATATTAATTTGCAGATTGATTATAAAATAAATTGGCACAAGTTTGCATATAGAGTATAAAACAAATCAACATTGACCAAACAATATTGCAATAATTAATTAAAAACAAATGTTGTAGTAAAAATTAAACTAACACTAAAATAAACTAAAAAATATTATTATTATTATAAAATAACACTATAAGGAAGGCTTGATTATAAAATAAATTGACACGAGTTTTCATATAGATTATGACACAAGTGAATATTGTAATAAAGTTTAGTTCAAACTAATTGCAAGAACAAGGAACACTAGGTTGGATCAACATATAGATTGTAGAATAAACGTTACAAAGAAAAAAAACTAACCAAAGCTATAAGGGGAATAAACAATTGAACATGGACTATAAAAACAAATCAATTCATACTAATTTGCATATTGATTATAAAATAAATTGGTACAAGTTTGCATATAGATTATAAAACAAATCAACGTTGCCCAAATAATATGGTAATAATTAATAAAAAACAAATTATGTAATAAAAATTAAATTAACACTTAAAATAAACTAAAAAAAATTATTATTATTATAAAATGATGCTAGAAGGAGGGTTTGATTATAAAATAAATTGACACTAAGATAAACTAAAAAATTTAATATTATTACATTAAAATAACGCTAGAAGGAGGGCTTGAACCTCCGACCTTGTGGTTAACAGCCACACGCTCTAACCAACTGAGCTATTCCAGCTGTTGATATTCATAGAATCTTTTTTTTATATCAAAGATCTTTCATCAAGTTTCGAAATAATAATCATTTTTATGTATAATTGGGTTTTTATGTATATCAAAGACTAATATTCTATTAGTCTATGGTTCAGAAAAATTGACTATCTGATGCATTATTGTAAATTTTCATTGACACAATGTGATGATACTACATCCTAAGATTAGAGGTGCTATCGTTGTTTATAAGATTTGGGCTTAGAAATACACGATAACACTAGTGAGATATTAATTCTTAAGTGAAAAAATGGTTAGCATACCTAAAAAGACATTCGGATCTGAGCATAGTTGGCAAACCAAAGGAACGATAGCCGCACTGCGAGTGTAGTAAGCGAAATCAAACTCAGAGGTGAATCCATCGTAAAGCCTAATGATCACCTTGAGATTACGAGTTACCTCTTGTTATCTTCGAAAAATCAAGCTTTTGTACCAAAGGGAGGCTCAATGAAGAGAAGGATCAAACTTAAGAATTCAATATCAATATACTGAAATAGGAAGGATCGATGGGATTGAATTTGGCGGTTACCTTCGGTTTCCGAAGAAAAGACGAAAACGAGGAGAAATGCGACTACTCCACCACCTCGTACCAAGAGGAAACTCGCAACCTTGCCGATAAGGATCGAAGAAAGAACACAAGAAGAAAATAGCAAGAAATTGAAACATGAAGTCGGTTGTGGTCAAAGGATATGATCGGCTTTGAGGATTACCTTCGAAAGGAGGAATCCGATGGAGCGGGGATTCTACTTCGCATTTACCCTCCCATGTATTGTGAAGTGGGAGAAGGCTGATGGGAAATGGAACCGGCCGTGCTACCAGAATATTCCTCGTTAGAGCGGGTAGGAAGTTATGATGAGGTGTATATACTCTAATGATCTGGAAGGGAATTATATCTGTGGTTCAGCATTTGGAATTCTTGAACTTGACGGTGAAGATTTTGAGATAGAACACACGGACGGTGCAGACGGTTGGATATTTCACATATGCTTGGACTCCTAGAGTATTCAAACCAAGCACACATGAGCTCAACGATTAAAGACGAATTGAAATAAATAGGTTCTTCCGAAGATATTCTAACCTAATCTCAAGTTCTGAGACAGGATGCACAAAAAAGCAAAACCTCGAATAAGATGAACACCTCAGCCAACCAGCCATGTAACAAATAGAGATATTAGTTCAGCACAGTTAGTCCAGATGGGTAACTTATACATTTTGTGCCAAAGCATCCGGTTATTTGCATTGGAAAGATCTTACCCATTATCCTGAGTTTTAACGCTCTACTCATGCCAAAAAATAACAGCTGAAAGATTGTATTCTGGTAAGAATATAATGGCTAACATATGAGATCATGTTACATAGAAAACCATACGGGTTTCAGATTTCATGAACACTATAAGAAATAAGGCGATGGAAGGTGTTCTACTCTTCATTGGAAAGTGGCCGAAGAAGCTGTTCTACAAGAATATCAAAATTTAATTACATGTACAGATGAAACAAGACAAGGTTTACTGAACAAACCCATTTGGTTTAGCCCCATTCTTTTTGGAATGCTTATGTTCTTCAGCATCATAATGAGCGAATGCAGCATCCAAAGCCTGAAAGTTATGGAATCATCCAGAGAGAACAGTAGGCTTCAGTTTCTAACCAAAATGCAGAAAACCATATTGGATGGCAGTTAAATGAGAATTTGATATTAAAGAGAGCTATCATACCACTAGCTTACATCTCAGACAAAATTGCTCATAACACAAGATTTTGACATCAATATGTACAAAAATCAAACTGCTTAAGGACTAACTATGGTGACTTTATCATCATTCACATGTTTGCTCACCTAAATAACTACACTATCATAGTTCCAAGTGCCTCAAATTTCATCCTAGATCAGCTTAACATATTCCCAGAATGTGTTTTGAATTATGAAATAAAACTTCTATTAGTGCCTGAGATAATGAGATTAATTTCATTGACCAAATGACCTAGACTTTGCAGTTGATATTAAACTATCAGACAATCTGCCACAACTGTGCAATGATGCATATGATTGTCAAAATAATTAATCTATCAGACAAGGCTTTTCTTTGGAAGTTATTCCAGGCAAATATAAGAGATAAATGACTGATACAAACAGAGAAAAGATCAGGACACGTCACTAATAAAAGCTAAAGGTATGCCATACTTCTACCATGGCACCACGTCAGGCTATCATTGCAGAGAGATTCCTATCAGAGAAAATAATTGATTGTAGAAATTCAAGAGAGTTCTATTGAAGAAAATAAAAAACTCTTTTGAATTAAGCTGTGTCAAATAACTAAACGAGTTCCAGCAATTACACACACTCATGACATGATACAAAATGCTTGCACTTGGATACCTGTAGCATGGGCTGAACAAGGAGAGAGATCTGATGCCGGAAATCTGATTGCACATCCTTAATAGCCTGAAAAGCAAAATGCAGATATTCGTAACGATTTACTGTTACATGCATAGTGCTTTATATGAGACAGTACCACTCTACTCATGGTGCACAGAAAAGGGGCATTGGCTGATGACTCAGCACCCCTTCAGAACCCGGTTTTTTCTTATCATGTTGAACAAGTTCATTCCTTGAACAAGATGAATAACTTAACATAAAGGACCAAACATTAGGATTTGGTCACTAAAAGGTTTAGAAGTTTATGGAAATCCTTTAGCCTCAACCCTCACCACCGAATCTTTGGATACATCAACAGAAACATACCGTCGTCCAAAAAGTCAACCAGAGGAATAACACACTCGCACTGGAAGGATTCCCTTCCCCTTTTCCTTCTCCCTCTTCTTTTCATCTTATTTTATTTTCTTTTCCTTTTCGTTGGTACACTCACATCCGAGTGTACTGTACCGTGACATGTTCCACCGAACAGGTGGTCCACACAAATGGCATGCTTGAATATATTAACTATTTGGAATTTCTCATGCTACAAGCAACATATTCTATGCCAATTAGCAGATATAATACACAAATGGCTTCTCTGGATAGAAAGATATTTGAAATTTCTCAACCTGCAAATATAAGCACATACCTTGAGCTTCTGATAGATATCTGTCATAGCACTCTTCAACCTGAGGACCTGTATCAAATATATGGTCATGGCCGAGAAAAATGTAAAGAAAATCAACGAATGAAGCAGGACATCAAAAAAGCAAAGTCATCATAACTAGACATCGCTATTCCTTATGTGCATCTTAAAATATGTATCTAATACCTTACTAGAACACTTCTACAACTTCGTCTAAAATCTGTTCATGCCAAAGGGAAGACCTACTACAGGTCCTTGCACCTGCCAAATCGCATTGCATCATAAATTTCACTGCTGGCCTCTTTATGGACCATGTTGCCAAATGGCAATACAGATTTCATTTCTAGGTTACCGGTATTAAGGTGATGCCCAGTCAATCAACATATTAAAAATTAAAAAGTATCAAGACAGTTGACAATCATAAGACTTAAATTGTTAGTTAAAATATCAATCCATTAACAACTTCAAGATACAAATAAGTGTCAACATAACCTTTAACAGAATAACTAAACGACGACCCTCCTTTAGAGAGGATACTTCTGTTCTATCTATGCAATGCCAGATTTTCATAACTTGATCGAACTAACACAACTTGTAAACTCTCGCAAAGCAAAGTCTCAACAAGTGTATCCTCCAAAACAGACAAGTGCCTAGGTTAGTTTTGCCAACATAAGCCACCAAGACAATATGACAACAAAGTGAGAAGTCAAATAAAATTTTAAGATGATAGGAAGATTGAAAAGACCATGCTAAGAATACCAGCAATGATTATAACAGCCAAATATCACAGTTTGCAAGAGATATCAAGATGTGACAACTAATTTGCATAGAGCATATGATTATAATAGATTAAGAGAAGCAAAAAGTCTTTGAAACAACAGTGTATAGTTTAGTTTCACTCTGAACAATTATCATGTAATTCTTATAACATTTCGACTAAGTGTCAACATAAATCTTCATATAAAATTATTTATGTATTGATTCTTTACAGTGATCATAAAAGTTAAACCTCATATTGCTTTGACAACACCATTATCACCTGTATTGCACATGCCAATTGTCATAAACCGCAGGTGTTCTATCCTTTGATAATGCTACTCTAGAGCAGAATGCAAGACATTTGCCCATGATGACATTACAAAAACATCTACCTAAACAATATCATGGTACAACATTTATGGATATATCATTTTTCTAAAATTTCTCACTAGTTCAAAATGTTGACATTTGCTGTAAAGACTGGAACAATGGAAACTGAAATTAGTTTTGGGGACTTTAGTGTCAAGTTTGTGAACCTTCATAGCATAAAATGAGGAATATTACCTTATTATATAGGTAACTAGTTGTAATTGGATATGATGACCAAAAATGACGAAGTAACTCCTGAATTGATGTCCAATGCTGAAACCAAAAAAGAAGTCTTAGAAGTGTCATCTAATATAAACAACAGGAGAAAGCCAGCTAAATCTTCAGATTTGACGCAGCCAATTTGCAGCATAGAAAGTAATGCAATTTGTCCTACAGGATAAATGGCTGGCGCACCAGTACAGTGCATGATGTATCAAGCTATAAAGAAACTTCCATTTGCTAGCAGTCTTACAAAAGATGCTTATGTATATACCGAAGTTCCAAATCTCAAACTAATGCAAGCTGCTTAGGTATAAGGGAAACTCACAAGCATAATTTCATCTTTGGTCCTTTTAGGTAATCTATCAAGAACGCTCTCCTGAGGATTCTTCCCAAGATGATATCTGGTGCTTGAAATCTGTTGCGTAAGCCCACTCAGAACCTAGCTCATACCAGTTAATGAGTTAGGTTTTCCTGCTCCATACAATAATGATGATTTATGTACATGTAAATTGAATGATGCAAATTAAACCATTTCTTTTACAAAAAGAAACAATAATGTTAAATAGACATTGTGATCAGGAGAGTCATTCCATTGAACTCAAACTTCTGTAGAAACGTTCATCAGTGATACATGAACTAAAGTGATCTTTAACTTGAGAATGCTATTTTGGCCAGAAGCAGTGAGTCTGCTATGCATCAGAAATACAGGCATGCTTCGAACATGGGAAAATTTAATTTCTGTTAATAAGTAGATAAGAACCTCCCTTGCATTAGTCAGATTTGGTTCATTGCATGATCCAAAAGATGCACTACAGATCCATAAAACATTCCAGATGATTCATGTATACAAAAGTCTGGTTCTATTCAATTTGGCTCATGAAAACTACTATATATAATAAATGCTCCCTTGGAAGCTAGAATGGAATAGTGTTTCTTATTAAAAGAATTCAGTCATTGCCAAGTTGGACACAGGGATTTGTAATTTCCACAACATCAGAACTCATATTATAGTAAAAGAATATAAACATGAACTTTGTCGTGCTCTATGCAATTTTCCTCAGTTTGTTGGATCTATGTTTTATTTCATACTTCTTTGTTTAATGGGAACATGCAACAACATACTGAAACAATACAAGTTATTATTAACATAACTCGTCTTAGTCTCCTGACATTTGTACTCTGACCACGCAAGCCCAAGGTGAAGTGCAACTTTTTGAGAGCTGCAACCCCAAATCTGAAGCACTGGTAAGTGCTAGCGAAGTATCAGTAATCTATCAGACCAGTATGGTACCAACATGAAGGATGGCGCACTGATGTATAACATCCAAAAATAAATATTAACAAGTAATGCCGACTAGTATCAAACCATATGGTCCAGTAATCCCTTATCAGACTGGTAAACACTGGCTGGTATGGCACACACCAACCAGCTTATGAAACTTTTGAGCATCAGTAATATTGGGAATATTGCTTGCTTTTTGAAATTACTCAATTTGGTTGACACAAATCAAACAGAGTAATTAGTCAAACACAATATTTTTAATAGCTCTAGATTGTGGGTAATCCGAACAAGATCAAGTACATAGAGAATCACTTTAGTTTCTGGCAGATTCCTTGAACACTACTAGTTGACTTTAATTTGAGCATCATAAATGGAAGAAAAAATTATCACCATATTTATAGACTACAAAGGAACATGTGTTAAAACTGCAAGTTAGATATTTAAATTTGGCATATGGACAAATCATATACCTTTGCACAGCCTAATCCTCAAAGTGGAGTTAGCTTAGGTCCTCTTAATCATAATAATGCTATGGAAGTAGAAGAATCTAATAATACTAAAACAACCTTCTTAAAGCAACTAGCTGCTACTCATTAAATATAAGGTGTAAGCAGCAATGTACCATATAAAGTTGAAAATGTTGTTAAGCAGCAATTGTCTCTCACTTTTTCTGTCAGCACAAACTTTATCACATTAAGAGATCAACACTGCTAGTATCAATTTGGATATTATATACTTAGAATAAGATGAGGCATCTAATATAATAACCATATATCTTGTGTTATTTGCTGTGATCAAATTTTCTCCCACAACAGCTTTATAAAAGACACCTAAGTGCATAAGGGTCTCATAACTTGAAGAGAGTCTCCATAAAAATATCTCTAGGAAGGGTTACTATACATAGCCACACACACCAAGCGAAGAGTTTCCGTAACTTGAACCCTAGTTACCTAAATTAAGGAGCAAATTTACCATCACAATAAGGCCCCAGCCCTCCATAACAACCTTTATCATGTTAATAAATCAGCATTGCAAGTACCAATATCCATGGTTATACAGTTAGTATACGGTGATGTAACTTATACCTTAACCGTGCATGACAATATATAAAATTATAAATAGTTAAATATACACACTATCACTAGAAATAAGAAATCTACACAAAATTAATCTCCAAAATAATTCAAGCAATGCGCATAATCAGTAAATATTTCTTTCTTGTAGTTATCAGAATAACTAGAAACCCAAATCCTATGACAGTAATTGGAACCATCCAAATCCTGTGCATATTGATACACATTCCACAAGAAAACAAAATAAGACCTTTTTCTTACCAAGAGATAATTGTTTTCAGTTCAACCAATTCTTACCTCTTTCTATCTTTTGATTTATTCTCATTCATATTTCAGCTTGCCAGATTAGATCAGGTTTTGAAGTCATGTATTAAGTTGAAATCACATCTTCAAGTCCAAGTTTACTTACAGATAGAAGTGGGAGTCCTAAAGACATTGTAAAATCATGTTAGGAGGGCTATGTGATTTTAGATAGAATTTTGTGGAATTCTGAGATTTACATATCATTTTAATTGTCCATATACATGGTATACTGTAAATCTACGTATTGGGGTTGGTTATTTCATTATTGCAAAAGATTTATTGTAATTTAGAAGTAAGTGTTCTTTTGTATTGCCCACTCTTTCATTCTTGGAAGGTCAATTCTCCACAAGCTGAAGAATACCCTAAATCATATGGTATCAAAGAATAACATATAGAAAACAAAAGAGATTAGATAACTCAAATTTGAACTTGTAATTGTTCCAATCTCTAAGCAAAACTATAGTCTTTTGTGACAATGACACAAAAATCCTTGGGAAATAAAAATAGAAAGTAGATCAAAAAATCTTAACAAAAAAGTTTGCCACAAGCCTTGGTGTTTTTAGTTCATAATCAACACAGGTAATAAAAAGCAACATCTGAAGAGCAAAGCCTCCACAGTCACTTTGAGCATGTGAAGGTAATATGATATTCTAATTTCTGAAAACACTCAAGAATACAGGGGAAAACAGAGCGACAAAAGTCTTTCAGAAGTAACTTAAGATAATAAGCAAGCAATCACTCTCAGTGTAAAGAAATTTACCTTACAAGCAACTTCAGATTGAACAATTGGATTATGCAACCCTTGAGCTTTCACCTCAGAGATCTGATGCATTAGATAACTATAAGCCTCCTCAGAATTTAGGCTGTAATCGATTGTTTTGGAACCAGCACCAGTGCCGCCTAAAGCTTTAAGCGCATTGACTTGTTGAGAATCAAAATACTCCCGTGGATCCTAATACAAGAAAAATTATTACCTGCCATAACGAGATTTCATTTATTCACACAAGCAATAGACACCTTGATGCAAAGTGGTGCATATGGAAGGCTATGAGGAGCCTGAAGATCTTCAATCTCGGTCATACGTGAAACTCTTTCTTGTCGTTCTAGATTAGAATTCTCATCTAAAGTATCAGCAGATGACTCTGTTTGAAGCAATCATCAAACCAACATGAAAGTATGCTAAGTTAATTTGATTCAAGTATATGGATAAGTCATATTGGTGTGTAAACTATGTACAGAGAACATTGTTCTAACCTTGTTTGGACCTAGCAAGTGCTTCAGCTACAGCTCGCGTATCTCCCAATTCAATATCTGCATCCACAAAACCAGACATTGGAATTTTGATTATTACACCTAGAAGGGCCATATCCTCAATCAGCTAAGAAATGATATCATGGGTATTCATAGTCTAGTAACCAAGGTTCTAACTACTAGTCATCCCATACCTTTTTACTTGATAACTTCAGTTAAGAAAAGGACCAAGATGTTGAATCAGGGGGTCTCACCAATACTACAATCATATCAACTTCCAGTACTTACGGGCGAAAACAGCCAGCAATTGACTCATCCCACTTATTGAAACAGCTTTTTTTTTCCAATCACAGTTCATGACTCATGCAAGGAAGACTGACCTCTGCTACTCACATTCTCGGTTTGGCAGTGCCATTGGGGTACAAAAGGGAGATCCAATGACACATACTCATCAAACATCACAGGCACAACAGTGAGTTTTTATATTTATAGTATATCATTTTTTATTTTCATTTATATTCTTTTTCTGGGAGAAGTTATGCTGGTTTGCCATGAATGACCTAAATGACCAGAGAAATTAGTGATCGAAAAAAAAACCAAAACATGTCCATTAGATGACAAAAGAGAACTATAGACAAGAAAAAAACAAGAAATGTCAGGATATGAGGGCATAAGTGAAACCTCAATTTTGTTAATGTTTCTCAACTCGAGCATTTAATGTAACTACAGTCACTGCAGCATTGTCACTATAGGAGTCTCATCCTACCTGAACATGATCAGTTTAGGTACCCTAATTCTAGCTAAGAAGTTCAGTATTACGCATGTACAGTACAGTACCAAGAGAAAATCCTTCTGATAGATGTAATATCAAAATATCATGAGACGATACTGCACCCTGAGTTAATAGAATAACCACAGGTGTAGACAGCGATCAGATCATCGGAAAGAGAAGCTCATAATTAAAATTATTTTAATAAATGCTAACAAGGCCTACTTCAGATATGTTCTCATGAGCTAAAGAAAATAGTTAGGGTGACAATATAGGCTTCACAGATTGCACCTACCTAGTGCCCTCCCTTCAAGAACAACAGCCGCATGACGATTAACATCTTGTGCAAGAGTCCTCCGAGCTAAATCATTCTCCGAATCTGCAGTCTCTTTGCTACCATCACGAAGAATTCCATGATCCTGAAAATTAACAAGAAAACTAAAATTCGGCAACCAAATAATTGATTTTATGTACTCGTACTTCTGAGAGGTACATCTAATTTCAGGGCATTAGTGTATAATTCTTATTTATCAAGTTTAACAATAATCTAGGGAACCATCAAATAGAATATAAAAAACAAGATTGATAAAAGAATTTGGCCATGTTTCATTTTAACAAGAATTTAAATATTTTCTTCAAAAACGTTACTTTCCTAAAATGGAAAAGGCAACATAACAGCACAAGGGAAACTTGTTCATAGAGTCATACAAAGATGGATAGGCAAAAATTATGTACCAAATGAGAACAAGCATAGTATCAACAAATGGAGAGTGCTTTCATAGATACAACATAAGCATATGGTCAGCTATATAATGGGGTGGCAATACTTGACATGACCTCCTAATTCCAACCTGAACATGAAACAAAATTAGTGGGTTAAGGTTATTCTTCTATGGGCCCCTGGCATAAATGTGTTCGCATGGGAACCACAAAGAGTTGAAAACAATACCCTCTGCTACAAACATGTGCGCAGCACATTAATTGTTCTTATCAAATGCCTGATGTTACGTTTTGTTACTATAAAACGTATAATAAGCTAAAAGTACATATAATATTATAACTTATTCTTAGTGTGAAGCAACTGTAAAAAGCTACATGTTATTCAGTGGCCAAGTCACAATGAAAGTTTTTAAAGAAAAAGCACCACAACTGCAAAAAATACAAAACAAGAGAAGATATTGCAAATGAATTTTCTCAAGAATAATTGGGCATAGGATGAATTTAGCAAAGTGACCAAATTATGAGGGATGTCTACGTACAGGAAGATGGATGTAGTCATCACCTAAATCAGCTTCCATGTCCAAGGTTGGATCAACCCGTCTGATCTGCATCACAATCAAATGATTACTACTAGAAGTAATCTATTAATAATCCATCGTTATTAACAAACTTAAGCAGCTAGGAATCTGTCAGAGAAAACACATAATGGGGCTTGTGTCTAAAAGCAATCCAGCAAGCACCTTACGCCGAGCTTCATCAGCCAATATGTCATCATGCTTCAGAAAGACAGCAAGTTCTTCATCTTCAGCTGCCTCTGCTGCAGCGGCTACAGAATTTTTTGTCCTGTGGAGATATTCAGCTCTACAGTATTTTGTCCAGAAATCCTTTTCTGTCATCTGGAAATCCAGGAAAAAGAATTTAATGTTGAGAAAAAAGAAATTAAGTCAAAAAGACTACTCATGCTTGCAATAAAAATTGACTTATGTGTTATTACATTAGTTGTAAAAAAGGATGTTAACAGTAAATAAAGCCTGACAAAACATATTGTCACCTTGCTTGGAACAAAATTCAAAAATGCCCGATGAACAGCAGGTTTTTCAGCGAAAATCTGTAAAATATACACAAACCAGAGTGAAATTGTCTAACAAGACAATGAAAAACTGATAGTCAAATTAAAATTACAGCTAAACTTTGTAATTTGTAAGATTGCTTCCATCACTCCTTCATCCACTCAATATCCTTTCCTATCACCCTTCCATTCTACAAAATATTAGCAGTTCTAGATGCTCACTTCAGATGACTAGACATTGTCAGCAAGACCAAGTAACATCCTAAACATGCTTCTCTCTCTTTTTTTCTCTCTCTCTCTCTCTGTATTAAATTACTGAATTACATTCAGAAACTGCACATACCTGGTGAATAATCTCCGGCGTAAGGCTAAACGTGACCTTATTGGTCTGCCAAGATGTATGAACAAGGAAAATATTAAAGGGTTTACATGTTTCAGCAGACAATATTCAAAAGGAAATGAGAACTCATAGGAGTTCTAAGAATAAAGCATAATTTTTAGCATTGACTATTAGCAGTTAATTAAGGACAGTAACAAATAAAAATATAACAGGTAAAACACAAGGTCCATGTTGTACCCGACCATCAGTTGATGGCCTTATATCTGCAAGCATAGCACTTTTAAACCCTGTCCGTTGCTTTAATGTTCTATCAGAATCATCGTCTAGTAGATTCTGCATCCAAGACATGCCAACAAAAATTTTCATATCAGATGCAGAGATACAAAAAAAATCAGATGAACTCTTTAAAACTTCCATTATGGTTGATCAATTTATCCACCTTTCTTGTAGCCCAAAACTCAGATTCCGTCAGCACATTGCCAATGACGAGCTCCTTGTGCAGCTTTTGCAATTCACTGTAGAATGCACTCATTAGTCTACTATGAAGTCTGAACTAGGTGATATACATAAAGGAAGGAGAGAGGTGAAGAGAGAGGACTCCAACACCAGCAACCTATTAGTTCAATACCCATCCTTAACTATAGGAAGGTCGAACAGGTTGCTAAATAAGTACTGGTGATTGTGCTCAAGTCCCATTATTTTGCGAGCTACATACACTAATAACAGAAGGTCAAAATGACCAATCCCAAAAAGGAGAAATAACTAGTATCTATTAGAAGTTCGAGGAGACAATATAAAAGAGGATATAAAATTGTGTATATTGTTGATAAAATGACAGAGATGCAAGGCATCAGATTATTGTTACCTATCTTCCCGCAACAACTTCATTCTGCGTTCCATCTCTATAGTGCTAAGTTGTTCAAGTGATACAGCAGATTTCTCAGAGGTCGGTTCATCATTTTGCTTGGACACCAAAGCCTGGAACTTCCCTAGAACTTTCCCTGTTAAGGAGCAAGCAGTTATTTATGACACAGGTAAATTGAATAAAACCAGCCAACAGAAATTTCCATGGATCCCACTGGTCAATACATTATAGATGCTCAGGTTTAGAGGTAGACGCATATATACATCACACTTGGACAAAGCTAGTTAATTGATCTCACTAGTCAACACAAGAAAAAGCCATTAGTCAAGCTATTTGAAGTAAGCTACATGGATATTTCCCCCACCTAACTCCACAGTTGGCTCCATATTTTACTGTTGAATGCTCCAGGCATATCATGACATTGCTCATTGCTTCAGCCTACTACTTTCTTTCCTGCAGCAACTATACTTTTAACTGGCCCTCTCTTAACCAGGCAAGAATTTTTCAACATGTTTAACATATAATATTTTACTAATATTCAACAAAATGATGCTTCCTTCAAGTCCAAAGCAAGTACCAAAGCAATGTTATGGTACAAGTACCTAGGCAATTTTATTAACAATCTAATATCTTTCTACTATTAATATTGGCTTACAAGTACCAAAGCAGTTTTATGGTAATTCTTGATCATCTGCTTTACTACATGTATAAAAGAATGCCAATTTAAGATATACAAGCATACATTGCATCTCAAACATGGACAAATGAAATATCTGAATTTATATGTCTGCAAAATCGAACAAGTGCATTGCCCAAACATCCAAAATGTTCATAAAGGCCTTGAATCCTTCCAATGTTATCGTATGATTGAAGTAACAGTTAAGTGGCAAAAATCCAATCCTCGACTAGAATTTCAACATATAACAATCTACAACATCTAAACTTGGCTTTGTTGTACCAGAACAGCAGACCATTCAAAAAGCAAGAGCATTATGTAGCCTATATAATCAGACTAAACTTTCTAATAACAAAGCCCATTCTGTCAATTGACTGCATAGGCATTGAGTCCCAATTGTTTGTTGTCTAATTTTATAGAATAAAGATCCTGTACTACCATTTAAATGAAATGACTTAGTCTTCAATCTTGATTTGATACTGTACATTTTAGTTCATATGATCAAGTCATCCATATGCAGAGGAATGAATTCCAAATAACAAGATGACCAAGTTATCGATCTTCACTGGAAGGGGTAAAACCAAACTGCAAAATTTGGCCAAACTCATTTATCTCACCTCTTCAGAAACATCCCTTGTTTCTTAAATTTGACATCATCATCATTCCTATTTGTAACCTGTAAATATCTTTCTTCCATCCTTCTCTGAAATCTCAGCCCTTCTTCTGATGACTAACTGGGTATACAAACATAACACAAGCTGTTCATATAAGGTGATACTCTATCAAGTTCCACTAAAAATCTCTAGAATACAACCCATAAAATCTTGACATGTTAATTAGAAATTAAAACGAAGCAATGGAACAACTTAATTACTTATACAAGGAAACATTATACAAAACAATTGTTGAAAAAACTGATGAACCTTAAAATGTGTCAAGATGGAGATTGGAATTTACCTACAAAATCTCGACAATCATTACGTTCAGTAAAATTATTAAACTCAAAAATGTAGCCTCCCCCCTGAAACAAATTATAACCAAGTTAGTTTAAGCTTTCTGCTATTGAAATAAAATGTGAATCATAAGAAGCAATACAAATACACCATTTTAAAGTTTAAAGATGGTATATTGCTTGCATGATAAAATCAAAATTCCAGAAATTCTTATTCTGCCCAGATGAAGTATAATTTTGAATAACTGATTAAATGATAGTTAAAAATGAGTAATAACAACACCTTTTCAGAATCTTGTGTAAGATTTAATAATGCTTGCTTTGAACCATCTTTACTGAATTTATGACCTGAAAATCACACAAGAAACCAAATTAGGACATATAATGCATGATACAGAGCCAAAATAAGAAACATGCCTTTGTCAATACTATATAACCAAGATTCTTAAACATAGCCTAAGAGCTTTACCAATTTACACAAGTCCAATTTGGCTACAGAATCATATGAAATCCTCAACCAAATAGAATATCAAAATGCTTGAAATGGCAAGTGTTCTGTGATCAGCCATCTTATCACTGAACTCTTTCTCGGAAGCTAAAATCACCTTTAGCTCTGTGACAAAATTATTAACATTCAAATAGAAAAAGCTGCAAAACCATTGCATGACATTGGGACTATGCTGATTATTACATTGGTCATTATGTAGAATGATAGATCTTCTTAACTACTCAGAAAACCATGGAGATCTTTTATAGCCTAACTTTCAGAAGTATAAAACATTTCAAACTCTTGATGTGTCTTTGACTCGTCTAAAGAAGATGAAACTTCAACAACCATAAGCTTTGTGTAGTTACACAATAATGTAAGAAATTCGTATTTAGTGGATACATAGGGAATTTTTTAAATGTTAACCTTCTGCGAATGCAGCAATCTCCTGTCTATAAAAAGAATCAGGTTTAAAATTGACAAATTACAAATGATAGTCTCAGCAAGAACCAACATCTATAACCAGCAAAGGATTGACCATCTTAACATATCTTTTTTGATTTTCAATCCCATTACAAGGTACATGTTATTTCCAATAAAGACTAGCATAATAATATAAGTTCTACTCCTAGTTTTGGACAAAATGAAACAAAGAAACATAGAAAATGTTGGGTTTTGATAAATAAAAATCAATCGACGCAATAAAAGGATAATCATGGTCTCTAAGAGCACACCTAACAACTACAACATTATACAAAGAGTTGCTTCAAATGTTGTTTTTTTTTCTTAGAAGCTGCATTCGATACCATCCGTGAGTTTCACACTTTGGCCAGTCTTAAAGAAAGGTCCTTTGTTTTTATTTTATATTATTTATGGATGTATTTTCATTCATATATTTATTTAATATTTCAATGTTTTTTTCTTCTGTGTCCTAATTTTGTTATAGATAGCTTTAGGAGAGTCCTTAAACCACTAGAAATCATGCTTTAAGAGTTGTAGACATATTTTAAAATAGGATAAGATTCCAAAACCTCCACATTTAGAAATTATTCTCCCATAAATTATATTAGTTTATTACAAGATTCTGAATACCATACCGTACCGATGTACCGATCAGTTGTTGGTATGGTACATACCGACATATGATACACTAAGATGTACAGATGTACTACCTGTACCGGTCCTCTATCGAACCGGTACGTACCGCCCATACCAAGAGGTATGGTATGGTATTGCAAACCATGGTTTATTATATACATAAATATGACAAGGCTATATCATGAGATCATTTATCTTTCTTTTATTGCAACAAAATATACTAGAATAGTTACATTAATAATCTTCTCTGTCTTATTTATCATGACCGGCCTTTTTAACTCCTCGATATTTTTGTAAGTTAAACTAACATCTAGAAAGTTACTCATAAGTCAGACCCCAACACCTAAGAGTCTCATAAGACTCAAAAACCCCTTCTTCCCTTATTTCCACAACATGGCAAGTAATTGTTCCAGCAAGTAATGCAAAAAAAGCTCCACCACAAGAACCTCAACTTGAACCTTAAAAGTTAAGCACTACCAGGCAGTCAACACTTTGTAATGGAAAATTTAATACCCATGATTGTTTTTTTACAGAATTAACCTCAAAAGACTCTCCAGATTGTTTTGTCCTCTATGATTCTAGTAAATATTTTGAATAGTACCCATAGAAAATTTAATGATGTGTGTCTTTCCCAATCCCGTTCCTAGGTTATACACAAGAATCATAAGCCAAGTTTATATGCCTAGACACTCTTTTTACAAATAAATACAGATTACAATAACAAGTCAAGTAATATCAAAAGTTCTATCATGACATCATGATTCACTGCAAAGGAAACAACATTATGAATGCCACCACCACTAGGCTCCAAAATATTGGCTAGATCTTGAAGATTGTACCCTTATGACAATGTTCTCATTATTTTCATACAACTCCTTATTGTGATAGAGGTTTAATTTGACTCCTCGTAGTTTGTTTACCTTACTTTAATCAATATGAACAATATTTATGCAGCAACATATCTGGAATCTAAAAGATATGAAAACAGATGGATGCGATGGCTCCTTTGATTGTAAGCAAGGACAAGATTATCCATATCATTGCATGCTCAGCTGTAGATTCATGTTCATTGAAAAGCACAGTTATATTAGTAAACCTTGGCTAAATGTCGACCTTTAACTTCATTGCACCATCCTGCTACTGCATTGGATAAATTAATAGATAATGATTTATTATGTTATTTGATAATAAACCTGGTACAATATTTTTCTGCACTATAAAATGAACAATTGCCTATTGGAAAAACCACTAACAGACTAAAAGAAGAACTTTTAGTTGCAACTATAACAATTATCTTAGTTGGTACTTGTTAACTACTAGTATAATAATCCAAAAAGCGAAACTGATGAAATCTTATTTCACAGTAATGGATTAGCATTAAGGTCATTGAATAATTCTTTCCACTATGATATCAAAAAGCAATCTTTTCAAAAAAGACAAAGAGAGGAAAAGTAGCCAGTACCTTTAATGTTTCTAAAGTCCACTCTAAGCTTCATCGCTGATCTAGGATCATGAGGAGTAAAAGTAAATACATCCTCCATCTGCATATCATTGAACAAGATTGATGATCAGCATTACCATTAAGGATAACTATTTCCTTTAAAAAAGCAATAACTGATTTTCTTAGATGGAATATAACTTGCATTCCCCAATAAGCTCGTGACTCTTCTTTAGTAAGATACATAGTTGTCTGACATAAGCAAAAACCTATCTGATAAATTATTGCTCAATATAATTGTGAAAATTAGTTCGTAATAGACAAATAGTGCGTAGATATAAACACTCAAGACAATAACAATCGTGGATCAGGCCCGCGAAAATGCCAATTCATCATTACAAGGGACAACTTGTTCTTCGCTAGGGTTAAGAATCACAAGAGATCTTCAGACACAAGGATCAAATTTTCATCCAAGAATGCGACACTAGTGAAAAAAAGGAGCAGCACATGGATAGGGCGCGGGCGCATCAAGAACCGAATGGAGAGAGCGAAGCAAATTACCATATTAAGCACGCCCGGAATCCCGGGCTCTTTCACCGTCGTCTTATACTTGGCCACCTTGCTGATCGCCGCCATTTCCCCGGAGAGAAATCGGGGCCCCGGTAACCAATCAGCGGCGGCGGACGAGGAAGTGCGAGGGGCGGTGCGATCGAAACGGACGGCGGAGATTAGGGCAAAGGGCTGCGCCCCGCGCGATTGCGGCGTCCCTGATCGATCGAGAGAAGCCGAAGCGGATATGTAGGGTTTCGACCAGAGATTGGTGGGTGGATTTCCCGATTGAGGGAAGGGAATCTGTAGAGAGAGAGAAAGAGCGAGGGAGGGAGGAGCAGAGGAGATGGTCGCTCCGGTCTCACTGGCGAATAAAAGGAATGTAGTCTGCTTAAATAGGCGTGCGGCCGATCGAAGGTTTCGAGTAGGGCGAAGGGTCTGCTGACCCGGTTCGAGGTCTCTCCGGTTCATTCTCGGCTCTCGATGGGTTTAATGATCATGTTAGTCGAGCATGGTTACTCTACGTCCAGATCAATCATGACGACGCGGTTTTCTACTTGATTAAGATAATAAATACAGGGGAGATCTAACTTACTATTAAGACATAATATTAACTGCCCATATCAGAAATTCGATGACAATTTTAGTTTACATCCGTTGGTGTCGAGGGCGGATTAGATACGATGAATAATTCTAAAAAAATATAACAATGACATATTCGATGAGAATGTCTCAATATCCATGGTGCAGATAATTCTCTTTAAATTATTACATATGGAATCTTTTTCATATGCTACAGTGTTAATCCATGAGAGTGCTTCGGGTATTACTCAAACGCGAGATATCACATGAACCGTTATTGTTGATATTATCATCGTGTCGTTATTGTTGGTCATTTGTCTAATATATCCGGTACGTATTAAGAAAATATTATTGACATCTTGGTATGATTTTTCTAATTTGATCATTTCGATACTTAAGTTAATGATCAAACGTCTTGGAACATGGGTTTAAGTAGTTCAAAAGGAGTTGGTCTCCCTTTCTCTGTTTAGGATGTATTTTTATACTTTTGAATTAGCGGAAGAAAGTTTATAGTAACCTTTGATTACCTTTCTTATCATGAAGGGAGAGAAAAAATTTATATTTATCTTATTATAATGAATGAGATGGAAGCTGGTATTTCTTTATTTTGACACTTTGTACACGTGGTAAATGGAATATGACTTGAATCTCACATGATAATCGTATGTCAACTAACAGTATATTCCCTATCATTTGTCCTCCATCCCCCTCTATGAAGGTATGCTTCAAAGCTTTTGCAAGAGGGATTTGAAGCATGTCATTTGGTTTTTTCCATTCTTGGAGTGTTCGGGATTTCATCTACGGGTCGGGTTTTCCCAATTTAAGTGTCTTGGGTACGTTGGACTCATGCCTCCATTGTTGCGATTTTTCTTTGACATCGATCGGGTTTTCTAGCTCACCCACCTTGGACACATTTAACCTATACATTTGCCATAACAGATTTATCTCGACACTGATCGAGTTTTCTAACTTATACATCTCAAGCACATTTGGCCAGTGTCTCAACCATAATAGATTTATCTTAACCATAGTAGATTTATCTTGATGTCGGTCGGATTTCCCGACTCACATGCCTCGAGCACATTTGGCTTATACTTTCACCGTGACGAATTTATCTCGACGCTAATCGGGTTTTTCGACTCACACACCTTGAGCACATTTGGCCTGTATCTCCATCATAATAGATTTATCTCGACGTCGATCGAGTTTCATAACTCACACACCTCGGGTACATTTAGCCTATGCCTCTATCGTGGCAAATTTATCTTCGTGTCAATCGAGTTTTTCAACTTATATACCTTAGGCACATTTAGCTTATGCCTTCACCATAGTAGATTTTGCAAGGAAATCAAGGGGTGACATCATATGCGTAGTGGAAGAACAAAAAACAAAAATCCCCAAATTTCTCAAAAATATGCCCGTCGTCGTGCGAAGATTGGTGCGCAAAATCCATGAAAATAAAAACCACATGTGAGATAGTTGTGTTACCTAGGGATTTCGTATATCCTTGATTCTCTATAGATCCGTAGGAGAGGATGAAGGAGGTCAAGCATCCTCCTCTCTAGCGGTGATCCACACAGTAGGGTTGCGACAATGCTCCTCGAATCGCTATCCAAATCTCCATACCTGTTATCTAAGGAGGAGAATGAGAGAGGGTATTAGGAGGTGGCAACTAAGAAGCCTCTAGCTTATGAGCCTTTGGTTCCTTCTTATTTATAGAGGTCCCTTGTCAACTTAACCCTAATTGATGCTACCTTATTGGGTACTAGATCTTTATCCAACTACCCAAGCCACTTAGATTAGTGGATTTCAATCTAATAATCTCTCATTGGCTCTTATTGGTTCTCATCCATAGGATCTAATAATTCAGGGTCTTATTGGATATCCAATAATATGGAGGTTCCAATGGATATCTTATATTCAAACATCTACTCGTTGCAATGTCTACCATATATGTGTAACCCTCTAGGCCCAATACCGAGCTGGTCATGAGTCATACCTGTCAGAACTCCTTCTGGCTCAATTAATTATTATCTTCATAATAATTCACTCGACTCATCGACTACGAACGTACTAGACCACTACGTCGTAGCTTTCAGACAATATAGGGGAATCTAATCCTTTAGATCTATTTGTCCTCAGTTATTATGTACCTATAGTTCCTCATCAATCTAATATATCAAAGACTATATACCGGGCATGGTGCTATCAGACTCATACGGTTCTACTCGAGTCTCGCTCTAATTGGATTCTCCCGGAGAACTCTTTCTATCTCAATCCAAATGACCCTGGCCAGGGATTTGTTTGAGCAAGAACACATGGAATATTCCTTTTATAATACCAAGAGCGGATGATTCTCTATCGACACTCAATAGCCCTCGTAAGATTGATTACTATTTTTCAATGGCCGATTGTGCTAGATATGAAATTTTTAAACCTATAAGTCTAGTATCAAAGAGTGGAGTACTCATATAGGACATCATTGGTATCTCAAGTCTAAGGACTAGGTACACCACTTAGACAACGGAATCACTATTTGACAATGAGGTATTATTAACCATCCAACATTCCATGAGCAGATCAATCAGTGAACTCATTCTCCAATGAGCACCTACACTATAGCCCTAGTGTCCCCACATGAGCAGCTATGAGACTAGCTGCCTCCATCACATTGATGAGTATACAATATACCAATATGTACGGTTATCTTGATGTCCGTCTCAAGTAACTTATGACTAGAATTATTTAGGGTCTATGTTTAAAGGTGAATCGATCTCATTATCGTGATCTCATCACTATCTGATTCTTATTGCACAGATCCATGAACATCATTATATATATATATATATATATATATATATATATATATATATATATATATATATATATATATATATATATATATATATATATATGCAACAAGTAATATAAAGTGATAAAATATCAAATATTATAATAAGTAAAAAGAATGCATATCATGTTACATGTGTTATTATTAACAATCTCTCACTTGACCTAAACCAATCATCTATATGTCTGATCCTCATCATACCTTTATGATACTCAAAGACAATATAAGATAATGGCTTTGTTAGTGGATCTACAATGTTATCTTCGGATGGAACTTTTTCTACTACTACATCTCATCGGGTCATGATCTCTCTGATCAAGTGGAACCTGCTCAGAATGTACTTAGACTTCTGATGAGACTTGGGTTCCTTCGCTTGAGCAATCGCCCTGTAGTTATCGCAATACAAGGGAATTGGCTCTTCGTTGCCAAGCACGACTCTCAAATTTGTAATGAACTTATTTATCCAGACTCTCTCATTTGTTGTCTTTGTTACATCAATATACTCCGTCTCTATGGTCGAGTTAGTAGTAGTATCTTGCTTGGAACTCTTCCAGCATACTGCTTCTTCATTCAGGGTAAACATATACCCCAAATTAGACTTGTTATCATCGATATTAGACTGGAAACTTGAGTTTGTATAACCTTCAACCCTGAGGCTACTATCTCCATATATCAGTAAAAGTTCATTAATCATTCTCAAGTACTTAAGGATACGCTTTACTGCATTCAGTGCTCCAAGCCTGGATCTACCTAATACCTACTCATGACACTCAAAGCATACGTACGCTATATCAAGCATCGTACATAGCATGACATACATGATACACCCTTTCGTTGAGGCACAGGGTATCATATACATGTTTGCCCTTTCTTTAGGCGTCTTTAGGGATATACTCATAGAAAATAATATCCTATGTCTCATCGGTACGAGACATCTCTTAAAATTTTTTATGCCAAACGTTTTGACAATGGTGTCTATGTACTTGGACTAGGACAAGCCAAGCATCATCTTGGATCTATCTCTACAGATCTGAATCTCTAAGATATATGGTGCATCCCCTAAGCCCTTCATGGAGAAGTATCTAGATAACCAAACTTTTACTGTAGATAGTGTTCCAACATCATTTCCAATGATCATGATGTCATTCATATATAACACTAAGAAGATGATAGCACTCTCACTTACCTTCTTGTACACACAAGGCTAATCTTCATTCTTAACAAAGTCATAAGATCTGATCGCCTCATCAAATCTTATGTTCCAACTTCGATAAGTTTGCTTCAGTACATAAATGAACATAAGCAACATACACACCTTATTTGGGTAGTCATTATATATAAATCCCTCAGGCTGTATCATATACATCTCCTCCTCGATGTTACCATTGAGGAACATAATTTTCACGTCCATCTGTCAGATCTCATAATCATAGTGTGCTACAATAGACAACAAAATTCGGATGAATTTTAGCAAGACTACGGGTGATAAGCTTTCATCATAGCCAATATCTTGCCTTTAACGATACCCTTGGGTGCTTCAACTAGGTTTCAAACCTTGTTGAAGTACATGAAATCCATCTCAGAATCCATGGTTTCTTGCCACTTCCCGGAATTTATACTCGTAATAGCCTCCTCGTAAGTCTGAAGATCAATATCCTTAACATTCTTTCTTTTAATATACCCCACATATCTCTCAGGAGGATTAGATACTTTGTTAGACTTATGTAAAGTCGGAACTTGTGTGCTAGGTACCTAAACAGACTCAGGCTGTGGAGTGGTGCTTGAGCTAGGTTATCCAATCTCGCTCAACTCTATCACGCTTCCACTATCTTCGCCAAGAATGTATTCCTTCTCAAGGAACACTGCTCTCTTAGCTACAAAGACCTTTTGCTCCTCGGCATGATAGAAATAATACCCACAAGTTTCCTTGGGGTATCACACGAA